CGCCTAGACACATAAACTCTCTCTCTGCGCCCCTTCTTCCCAGGGAGGTGCCTTGTTCTCATCCCCTGCCTGGTGGTGGGCCAGCAGCACCATCCCTAGAAGGTGTCCTGCTCTGGGGGACTTCCCGTCCACTCCAGTCCTGTCCAGGAGCCGCCTTAATGCAGCTCGTTGCCTGCTACTGCCATCTTGTGGTCCTGCTTTTTTTTTATCTTGATTGGCCCCCATATTCAAACTCGCCACAACCTCTCATCAGGACTCCACACAATAAGGGGGAAATAATTCCCCAGTAGAACATTCGGATGCCATTAGGAATCAGAATAGAGAGTAGGCAGCTGGAAACTTGACAAACGCACTACAGTCAGTAATGTGTGAGACCAATAAGGCTCCCAGCAGCCGGAGAAGGTGGGTCCCAAAGACGACTGGAGCACTTTTGGACAAGAGATAAATGCTGTGAATGCAGAACTCGAGGAAGCCAGGGAAGGGACACCAGACATGCCTCCTGATCAGGCCTTTTGCTTCAGAAATATTCAGACCGAAAAAAATTGACCTAGTGATGACCTCTTACTGGAGTTGACGGCCCCCCGTTCTAAGTCTGGGTCTAAGACACACTCTTTCTGGGAGCCAGCAGAGTGGGGATAGCACAAATGTCCTCTTTGCCTATTTACATGACTAGGGCCTTTGCACCTGTGACAGATGAGGTGCTTCTACCTGGCCCACCAGCACCCTGCTCCCCACTGCAGGCTGCGTGGGATGCGTGCTGCTCTCCAGGGACCGCTGGAAGTATGCGCATCACTCAGTGTTACTCCTGTGTACAGAGTACGCTGGTCCTGGGCCCCACACAAAGGAAAGCGTCTGGGCTCGGGGCCAAAGATGGCCACTTCGGCCTTGACTCTAAGGCACAAGTTACAAAAAATATGTCCTGCATCATGTTCCTTGTCTGGGCTGGCCACCCTGATGGGTACCTGACAGGACTTTAGAAACATCCCATCTGTGGGAACAAAAAAGATAAAAACACCCCATCAGTGGAAACAAGAAGAAATAACTCAAAATATCCAAATGTCTAAAAGCCTGAGTCGGAACCCAGAGAAACCTTAGGATAAAAGGGAGTCACAGGCATAAAATATTTGGAAGTCTCGCTGAGGAAAGGATGCTTTGCCTCAGACCCGGACAATCGGCACTCCCGCCTGCCGTACAAACCATTGGGACTTCCCCGGCTGATTGTGGTGTGGATGTTGTAAGCACCGATTTGCTGTTCCCCTTTATCCCTGCTCCTTGTTCTGTTTCCCTTTATCAGTAAACTTTGATCACTTAAACAACCAAGTAACCTTGGCAGTACCTGTCATTCCTTGCCCTTTGCAGCTGCGGGCCACATCTTATAAGCAAAAGACACACTTCTGCCTGAATTAAGTAGAAAATAAATTTATGAAAGGTCTGTGGTCTCCAAAAAGGGGATGAGAGGGGGCTGTTTGAGAACTGACTCAGGGGCTAGGCAGCCAGGACCAACATCCAAAATCACGCTGCAGAGCTGTCTGGGAAGGCACCCCTGCTTCCACCTCACCTGGGCACCAGATGCCACAGCTTGTATCCCTGACACCGAACGTTGGATGCTGTGTTACCATGAGTGGGGCAGGATTGTGAAAGTGTACTGTCATCCCTACCAGGCAAGAACAATGACTTCTGGATTCTCTGCTTATTGGGATAGAGAACAAAGCATTTGCCAGGGTCTGTGTTGATTTTCCTCAATAAAGAAACACCTGGAATAGCACTGCAAGTTGACTTACCTCTGATTACTAAATATACTGTAATTTTCCAAGACCCGTCTGCTTATGCATTGTACAATCCACCAAATTAAGTTGAAATATGACAGGACTCGGTATCCCTTCATCTTTCAAGTCTTCAATGGTAGCATCCATCTTTGCAATTCCACCAGGAATGCAGTATTGGTTTTGGTTTGCTGTTCTGCGGATAGAGGGGGCCCTCCAGCGGCTTCCACATGGCTCTTACCATGATAAAGTCTCTTCTCTATAAATTAGAGAAAGAATGTGAAGATTATGATAGTTGCAAAGTGTATTTATTCCAACTGCATCCTCAGAAAGGGTGGAAACAGCCACAGGATGAGGTAAGAATTCGCCAAGACTTGCCATGAAGAATACATAGGTCAAATTTCCCTTTATCACCTAATCATCATAAGTCCCCATTCTAACTAGTGCACCACAGTAGCATTCAGAAATTATTAGCTTAGAGCCAGCATCCAATAATCCCTGAAACATAGGGGTATTTCTCTCTCCCGAATGCAAATTACTCCAGCAAATGGCATATACTCATTCTAATACTGCCTCCTCTTTCTGTTTAGGCTGTTCCCAGCTTGCTCAAAAACACTTTCCAGTGGTTTCTGCAACTGGAATCACCTGGAGTGGATTTAAAAACAAAAATCAATATTCTGCCACATTCCAGAGAGTCATCCTGCAAGGAAAAGCCCATTCTTCTACCCCCATCACACTTCCTTGTCTCCAAATTTATAATCAGAGTCAAACCTCAGCATGTTTCAGGGGCCAGTTAGAAAGTCAGCCTGGAGAAAGGCTTGCGCATGTGCGTGGCCACACACACACACACACACACACACACACACACACACACACACACAACAGGTCTGAGCCAGAGAGATGCTGAGTGGGCAAGTCAGCTTGAAGGGATTGGAGAAAAGCTGATTGCTGGGCCCTCACCTCCGGGATCTCTTCTGGTTGGAGGAGCAGCCAGGGCTGTGGAGGTCAGAGGTGATACCCTGTGGCCTGGGAGACAGCCAGCCTTTAGCTGTTGCCAGGCTCCTCAAGGCCCTCCGCAGCCCACGAACCTCAGAAGAGGGACTCAATGAATGATCAACCCACCTGCAAGGGTGTTATTCTAAGCAGCAATTGTCAAACCCGGCTACACATTAGAATCTCCTGGGGAGCTTTCAAAACTGTCATGATGACTAAGGCTCGCTTCCAGAGATACGGACTCCCTCGGGGTGGGACTAGGAGAGGGGAGGGGCCAGCATATTCATATTTTTAAAGTATCACGCAAAGTGATTCCAGTTGTGGAATCACTGGACTAACGGGCTAGATAAGGCAGTGGTTCCCAACCTTGGCTGCATGTTGAAAACACCTGGGAAGCCTTAAAAGCATTCTGATGAATCTCCAGCCTAAAGATTCTGATTTAATTATTTAATTGATCTGCCTGGGTATTAGGAGCTTGCAAAGCTTACCAGGTGATTCTAAGGTACAGAATCATTAGGATAAGTTTGAGAATTCTTAGGGTGAGAGAGTGAATGAAGGAATTAATGAGGAAATGAATAAAGGCATGAATGAATCTACAGCCCTACACTTCAGCCTTAGAGCCACACTGTGTTTGTGTGTGTGTGTGTGTGTGTTTGCAGGCGTGGGGATTATCCACAGCATTTTAGCATGTGAGATCGAGGCCCATAGAACAGAGAGGAAGGGACTCATGTTTTTGGAGGGTCCACTCTGTACTGGTCACTGGCCCGGATGCTTTAAATGTATTTCCTTGTTGAATTGTCATAGCAACCCTGGAAGGATAAACAGTGTTGGACCCTATTTTACAGAAGTGGAGTCAGGACTCCCAGAGGTTAAACAGCTCGCCTGAGGTCACACACTGAATCAGTGGCAGGAACTGGACCAGATTCAGATCTCCAGAAGCCAATGCCATTCCCAGCTCCCACTAAAATGAGTGGTTCCATCTGCCCCTGGAGCCGCCTTGGCCTGACCCCCGTTCACCCCCAGAGCCTGGCTGGCATCTCACGGGAGCTTAGCTAGCAGCCATCTCTGGGCGGGTAGGGGCAGCTCTGTCCAGGCCCAGAGCTGCAGCAGTGAGAAGGCCCACAGAGGGAAAAGTCCCTGGAACCAAATCAGTGGAAGTTTTGGGCCCAACAAGCTCATCGGGACACAGCTCTAAGAGCAGAGGAATGTTGGCTGGACAGGGGCCAAAGAGTCATGTCTGCTGGACAAAGGGAGCCCGAGCTAGGAGCCCAGAGGCCAGGCTGAGGATGGGGCAGGAGATGGGGGCAGCACAGACACACAAGGTTCCCAACCGCCTTTTCTTAGGAAGGAAGGACTGACCTTCACTCCCAGATTATAACCTTCCCACACTGTGTTAACGGGAAATGAAATCAAATTCTTTTATGAAATGAGAGCAGATGTTAATTGTGATCCCCCCCCACACACACCTTTGGCAAAATAAAAAGGTGGCAACTGTACACTGGTATCTCCATTTGATTGGTTGGTTTGTTTTTTATTGGTCCAAGAAATCAGAAAATCTGGAAACCAAAGTTTTCTCTAGGCATTTGGGGGTGGAAACCAGCTTGTAGAGGGCTGAGAGAAAAAAAAGGGAGGCGAGGAAGTGCAGACAGCAGGGGCACACGATGATCTTTTGTAGATGGGTGCTACTCAAAGTTGGTTCCTGGCCTGGAGGCAGCTGCATGACCTGGGGGCTGGGTGAGCAGACTCCTGGCCCCTACCCCAGACCTACAAAGTCAGAATCTCTGGGAACAGAGGCCTGCAGTCTGAATTAACAGTGATTCCGGTGTTCATCATAGAGAACCACTCCACAGCTTGTGAAGAGGCCCAGAGAAAGGGAAGTGGCTGGAGGGCCGAGAGGGATTAAGGGATGATTTTTATGGTGGTTGTTCTAATGCAGAAAATACTTGAGGTTTTTTTCCTTTAACTTTTTATTGAAACACAATATACTTCCAGAAAAGTGCGTGTGTCGTAAATGTGGATGCACTTTCACAATCAGGAACCCATGTAACCGACATCAGATTAAGAAACCAGCATCGCCTGCACCCCAGAAGGCCTCTTGTGCCTCCCCTAGTCACTAGCTGACTTCTAATGGCAGAGACTAGTTTTACTTGTTCTTGTACTTTATATAAATGGAAGCAAATAGTATGTGCTCTTTCGGGTCTGGCTTCTTTCACTTGTCGTGTTTGTGAGTTCCACCTGTATTATGGCATACGATTGCAGCTCGCTCCTTCTCCCCTGCAGAGTATTCCATCGTGTGCCTGCGCCACTCATTCCTCTGATGACGGGTGGGTGTGTGGGCACGCTCCGATTTGGGACCATTCCGACTAGTGCTGCTATGAACATCCCGGGACATGTCTGTTGGGTGCACGCCTAGGAAAGGAATTTCTGGGCACTCGACCCTGCTTAAACGTTGTTGAGAAGGAACTAATAAGAAAACACGAAGCTACAAGAGAGAAAGGGTCAGTGAGAGAGTGAGGTCCCCGGGGAAGCAGGAGGCAAGAGGTGGGAGGGCTGGAGCCAGGAGCAGAGGCGGGGAAGGGCTTTTCCATTGCAGCAGGTGGGGAGGGGAGAGCAGCGTGGACCACAGGTCTGTAGTTGGGGGTGGTTATGGGGACTCCTGTGTCGGCTGTGACTCATCTGTGGGAAGCAGGAGGCAAGATGTGTGCTAAGAGTGCCATTCGGAGGGTTCGGGGTTTGAGGCATGGGAGACGGAGGTTTGAGGTAGTCATGGTAGAGAGTGGTCAGCAGAGGGATGACTAGAGAACGGATGAGACTAGTCCGTAACTAGTCCTGCAGCACTCTCTGAGGCTGTATGCTTTTGCCACAGAACAGGTTCTTGCTGTGCATCCCAGAGTGAAGGAGCTGGGAAACTGGTGGTTTCCGGGCTGGGCCTTGCCAAGAGGTCTGTGGCGCCACCTGCTGGACAGGAGCCACATGATGTGCCCTTCGTCACCCAAGTTGCTCCCCAGATAGAGAAATCTGGACCCCTGAAGTGACTTCAGGCTGAGCCCTGCCCCAGCCTGGCACCAGATGCTCCCATACCAGAACCTAGTCACATGCTGAACCCTGATCCAGGCCACAAGGTGACTGTAGTTCTAATTCGAGCTCCACTGTCCATAGATCAGAGTCCTGGATAGGCCATGGGATCCAGGGCGCCATCCCCTAAAGGGAGGGGACCAGCGGGCAGCCTGGGTCTCAGGCCTGTGGCCATGGCCCTAGGACCGGGCTCCCCCTACCTCGCTGAGCTCCGGCTCCTGGCGGGGTCCGCTGCCGGGAGCAGGCCTGTGCCCTAATGGGGCAGGCTCACAGGCAGCCTCCCTGGCCCAGTGTTCTGCCCAGACCTGTTCTAGATTCCACACCACCCTTCCCCAAGGCTGCCTCCACCTCCCACCCGCCCGGCTCCGGCCGGGCCTCCACAGACTCAGCCTGGAAAGCTGACAGGCAGGAGGGCTGGGGCGGGCACGGCGGGGCCATGGAGCCCACAGCAGGGCCTGTGCGCTACCAGAAGCTGCTGCTCTGGGACCCAGGCCTGGAGTCTGAGGAGGAAGAGGAGGGGACAGCAGAGACACTCATTCTCGACACTTGGAGGCCCCAGGACTCCTCTGGGTGAGTCAGGGAGGGGTCTGGGCACCCAGCAACTCAGGCCTGAGGCTAACAAGTCTCTCCCTCGGGAGCCCCTCGGTGGGGCCAGGCAAATTTGTCTCGACTCAGCTCCAGGAAATTGAATGCCAGGAACCTAGGCTGCAGCCCCAGACCTGGCCAGCACCGTCAACCCAAGGTCTGTGCATCTGAAGAGATACTCGTGCCAGGCCTGCCCTGCCAGCTGCCCTGTCAAAAGTTCCCAACCCCCACTGCTGGTGCAAGAGGCACCTGCTGGGCAGGTTGGACCTGGCTACATACACCTGGCTGGGCCCTGCTCCTCAGGCCTGCCAAGACCCCCTCAGGCCTCCTTCCCGACTGGCCCACCCTGCCTCTCCAACCCCCTCTCCAGAGACTTCTTCCCTAGCTGTCCTCAGTTTCCCCAAGCTCCTTCCCAACTCCATGTCTCCATCCGTGCTGTGCCCTCCGCCAGGAGGCCCTCCTCCTTGGTGAACTTGTACTTCTCCTGCAAGCAAGACCAAACCTTGTGGGAAATATTCTCTGGGGTCTCTTGGGGCTCTTGGGTGTCCCCTGCCCCAGCTCTGGCTCAGGACACCCCTCTCGACAGGAACGAGGTTGGTGGCCTGCCCGGAGCCTGGGCCCGACTAGTCGCCGCCCTGCTGCTGCTGGCCGTTGGCTTCTCCCTGGCTGTGAGGCAACTCCACACCCAGGGTGGCTCCACAGAAACCCTGGGCTCTGTGGCCCCTCCGCCCAGCGGGCATGCCCACCACCCCGGAGTATACCACCATGGAGCCATCATCAGCCCTGCAGGTCAGTGCTGGGAGCAGCTCAGGGGAGGGGAGGAGCCAGGGTCACTGGTCCCAGGCCCTTCCCCGTGACAGTCCGTTCCTTGTTGCAGCCACATGTTCCCACCTGGGCCGAGAGCTCCTTGTTGCTGGGGGCAATGTCGTGGACGCCGGAGTTGGAGCAGCTTTGTGTCTGGCAGTGGTGCATCCTCATGCCACAGGGCTAGGTCAGTGACCCACAACCCCAGAGACCCCAACCCTGGGCCTGATGGGTGACCTAGAACTCAGGGAGTCAGTGGCCCTGACCTCAAGGCTGGTGAGTGAGCAGGACCTAGGACTTGAGCAGTAGCCCCAAACTTGGCTGTGAACCTTGATCCCAGGTCCATGTGAAGTTCACCCCAGGCCTGGTTATTGACCCCTGGCCTAGTCAGGAACTCCTGATCCCAGGCTAAGTCAGTGACCCTCCATCTGGGGCTACTGAGTAACCCTGACCCCAGTTAGTGCCACTGACCCCTGGGTGACCCCTTTGTCTCCCCCAGGTGCCATGTTCTGGGGACTCTTCTACAATAGCTCCTCAGGCAATTCAACTGCCCTGACGTCAGGCCCAGCCCAGACCCTGGTCCCCGGCCTGGGGCTGCCCTCCGCTCTGCCTACCCTGCGCTTGCTGCACACACGCTTCGGCCGCCTGCCCTGGCCACGCCTGCTGGTGGGCCCAACCACGCTGGCTCAGGAGGGCTTCCTGGTGGACGCACCTCTGGCCAGGGCTCTGGCAGCCCAGGGCACAAAGGGCCTCTGTCCACTCCTTTGCCACACTGATGGGAGGCCCCTGGGCCCTGGGGCCCGAGCCATCAACCCCAAACTGGCAGCTGTACTACGCAGGGCAGCCCTCGCCCCCACCCCAGACCTTGCTGGGGAGGCCCTACTGGGTCTGCTGGCCAGAGACCTGGGGCTGGAGGGACCCTCAGCTGGGCCCATGCCCACCTTGGAGCCAGCACTGCAGCTCCCTGTGCCCCAGGGCATCCTGCTCACCACCCCCAGCCCCTCAGCTGGCCCAGAACTGCTGACACTGCTGCAGGCGGCCCTACACTCCAGAGGGCCCAGCTCTGACCCCTGCCCACCACTCCTTCAAGCAACGGTGACCCCCGTGAGCAGTGTCCTGGCAACTGTGGACAGCAGCGGCTCTGTGCTCCTTCTCACCTCCTCGCTCAACAGCTCCTTCGGCTCTGGACACCTGTCCCCAAGCACTGGGGTTCTACTCAGCAACCTGGTGGTGAAGTCTGCACCTAATGTCTGGGCCTGCCCCCTCATCCTTCATAGCAGCCTGGATGACACAGAGGCTGATGTGTTGGGGCTGGTGGCTTCAGGGACCCCCGCAGTGGCCAAAGTCATGACTCGTACCCTGCTCAGCCACCTGGCTGGGTCCCAAACCCAGGCCCAGCAAGGACCAACAGAGAGCCCCAGCATTTGTGGCCAAGGGACCCTGCTCCAGGTGGCAGCCCATGCAGAGCATGCCCATGTCTCCAGTGTCCCCCATGACTGCTGCCCCTTCCAGGGGTTCTAAGCGGGGAGAGGTGTCTGGCAGGGGATGGGGCGTGGGGTCTCGAGCCTGGAGGCAGTGGCAGAGCAGGCCCAGCAGCCATGGAGCACATAAAGAGTGTGCATCAATTATGTGCTCACTGCTGGCTCAGGGCCTCGACCTCTGGCCCGGTCAGTGACCCAGACTCGAGTTCTGGCTCTTTTTTCAGCTAAGGAAACTGAGGATGATACGGAAAGAGCAGCAGGGCCTGGGGCCAGCTCTGAGTTTAGATGCAGCCCTGGGACGGACAGGTGGAAGAACGCCAAGCCCCTGCCTAGGCTCTGGGCCCCAAGAGCAGGGCAGGCAGACTGCAGGCTATTGCTGGCATCTCCATGCTCCCCTTCGGGCCATCCTCTGCTGATCTCCCTCAACTGGGCTGGAAACAAAATAAAGATCAAGTCTCCTGGATGCCATGTGCCATTTCTGCTTCTTAGTTAATTTCCCATCAGCCTTTGAGGTGCCTGGTGCCAGGGCTTCCCCATGGCAGCACAGGAGACCCACATCCAGAGAGGCAGAGCCGGGGCTGGTGTCGGTCAGCTCCCCTGCTCTGCGCACCTTCTGCTTCCTGGGGCACCATACATACGGTAAACCTCTTACTCTCAGTTTCTAAAACATCCAGCAGCGCAAGGAAGGGTCAGGAAAAGGTGCCCAGGGGAGCACAGCTGAGTGTGTGGGATTTTAAGGTAGGGGTTGGGCCTGACCTCCCCCATCTCCCAGAGAGCAGGGGGCTCTCTGGACTACAGCCCTCCAGAGACAGCTTCTCAAGCAGTCTCAAGCGGGTGCACTCCTCCCCTCATTGTAAAAGGTATCTCTCATTTAACAGAACTCTTGACCCCACCACCTCCATCTCCTGCAAGCAGAGAAAATTCTGCCCCAGCTCAGTTAAAGGTACCACCATCTGCCCAGTTATTTTAGCCCCAAACCTGGCATCCCTCTCTTTTCCTCTCCCCCGATATCCATCACCCCCCTACCGGCTCCAAGTTAGCTGGAACCCGACCTATTCCCGTATTACGTTGGCCAATCCACCACTGTTTCTAACTGTGCTTCCTGCTTCTGCCTTCGCGCTCCTACAATCCATCCCCCACACAACGGGAGGACGATCTTTTAAAAATGTAAATGGGACCAAGGCTCGCGCTTGCATGAAACCCTCCAATGACTCCCCACCACACACAGAATAAAACCCACACTTATCTCCCGGAGCGAGAGCAGAACTAACTGGGCCGGCCCCGCCCCTAGGCCCCGCCCCTAGGCCCCGCCCCCGCCCCGGCCCCGCCTCCCAGGCGACCCAATCTAGTACGCACGCGCCGCGACCTGACCTGGAAGAGTTTGTCTTCGGAGCCCACGTGTTCGGGGAGCATGGCGGAGATGGAGAGTCGGGACGTCGCAGAGCCCATGTCTCTGGGAGAGGCGACAAAGAGCGGCGCCCGGCCTGCCGACCCGCATGGCCTGCTGAAGCACAGTCGCGAGTTCTTGGACTTCTTCTGGGACATTGCGAAGCCGCAGCAGGAGACGCGGCTTGAGGCCACGGAGAAGCTGCTGGAGTATCTGCGCACAAGGCCACAGGTATGGTGGCAGGCGTCCGCGTAGATCCCGGTAAAGATGTGGCGGCTGGCTCCAAGAGTTGGGCTGGGGAGGGGGCACGTGATCGCGAACCTGGATGCCCAGGTGAGCGCGGTCGGGGTGCGGGAGCGGGCGAGTGCGGGACGGTTTTTCTCACTGGTCGACCGGAGGATGCGCTTGGTTCACAGGGATCCGAGATGAAGTATGCTCTGAAGCGCCTGATCACTGGGCTCGGGGTCGGGCGAGAAACCGCCCGGCCCTGCTACAGTCTGGCCCTGGCACAGGTGAGCTAGTGGCTCCGGGGAAGGGGCCCAGCCATGCTGGTCAAAACGGTGAGGGGTGAGGGGAGCAGATGTCTCTGCTGCAGGGGAGGAGCCAGTGGTCCGAGGGAGAAGTTGCGGGTGGCACCTGAGCTGATGGGAGGCGTCCCCACGTGGAGGTGGAGAAAGTGTGAGCAAGGCTTGTCTGCAGAGAAGCCCAGGCAAGTGGGGCAGGAGAGTGAGCAGTTTCCTTTTTGTACATGGGTTGACTGGCCTCTTAGGTACATTTACTGGGAGTAGAAAGCTTTGGGATGCGTTCCCTTACATCTGCAAGGTTCAGGGCCCTCTGCCCTGCAAGGAGCACTAGGCTGAGGAACTTGGACCACTGGAAGAGCAATAAAGATCCAGTCCTTTAGCATCAGCCTGGGAGGAGCTCAGAGCAGGCTGTGGGGATAGTGTCTGGGAGTCTCAGTCTAGCAACCTAGGGGCCAAAGGAGGTAGTTTCTGAGCCCCAGGGGGCATGGGGCAGGGAGGCAAGATTCAGCTGCAGTGGAGCAGCAGAGCTCATCATCCGCACTGCTCAGAGGAGAGTGAGCAGCTTCAGAGGCATGCTTGGGGTGGGAGCCGGGGCCCAAGGCCCCTGGGCAGAAGTTGAAGGGAGAAGTGGCAGGGAGTTGAGGTCTGCTGCGGTGTGGCTGGACCACTCCTTGAACCCCTCTCTCTCTTCTGCCACAACTCCTGGCAGCTGTTACAGTCTTTCGAAGACATACCCTTGTGCAGCATCCTGCAGCAGATCCAAGAGAAGCATGACCTGCAGAAAGTTAAAAAGGTGAGAGCTGGTGGCCTAGGGAGGTCAGCAGCCCCAGGGTGGGGAATCCTCCGGCCCTTCTCACTGGTGCCTGGAATCCTTTTCTAGACAATGATGAGACCCGCTCTCTTCGCAAACCTGTTTGGGGTGCTAGCCCTCTTTCAGTCAGGCAGGCTGGTGAAGGTAAGAGCTTCGGGGGTACAGAGGGTATGGGGACTGCCTTGGGGGGCAGTGGCATGCCCTGCTCATACCCTCTCCCCCTCTGTGGGTACCAGGACTCGGAGGCACTGATGAAGTCCGTGAAGCTGCTCCAGACCCTGGCCCAGTACTACAACCACTTGCAGGAGCAGCCCCAGCAGGCGCTGGTGGACATCCTCTCTGAGGTACGTGCGGGCTGACCAGCTGTGGGACCTCGGGCAGCACTCCCTGTTATAGAAACATGGAGAAGGCTGAGTTCATACTCTCGAGCAGCACTATCCCATAGAAATATAAAAGTGAGTAACTTGTCATCTTTAGTAACTACCTTAGGAAAGGTAGAAAGAATCGAGTGCAGTTAGTAACATATTCCACTTCGCCTAATGCGTCTACATACAATCAATATGAAACATTGTAGAGATATTTTACATTTTTTGTTACATTAAGTCTCCAAAACCCGGTGTGTATTTTACATGTACAGCGGGTCTCGATTCAGGCTTGCACATTCCGTGTGCTCAGTAGCTACGTGTGGCCAGTGGCTGCCATATTGGGCAGTGCAGTTCTAGAATAGCGCCTGGCGTGCGGCAAGTATATTAAACATGTTTGCGGCAGAGCTGACCCCTCAGGGGCCCCCACTGCCCTACTTGAAAAATAGAGGTAGGCTAGTACCTAGAATCCTTTGCTCCTGAGGAAAAGACAGAGATTGGCACCTCCCAGGCAGGGGCTTTCTGCACAGTCCAGGCTGCAGAAGCCAGAAGGACCTGGGTTCAAATCCTAGCTCTCCATTTGGGGTTTCTTGCATAAGAAATAGGCTAGTCCTGAAAAACCCGAAAGAGGAATAATTAAAAGGGTAGCCCTGCGCCGGTTAGCATCAGCGGGGTTCTTGTTGAAAACTCAGATTCCGGGGGCTTGGGAATTTGAGATTTGTAACAAGTGGCCCTCTGGTGATTCTGATGCCCAGCAAGGTGGATTGTAGCTCTGCTGCCTCAGGCTGGCACTGCCAGGGGCCTCATGGGAGCCTGGCAGGTGGAACAACCCAGAGGGCTGACCCCAGGGGGAAAAACAAAGGATGCCATGAGGAAGCCACCCTTCCTCAACCTGTCTCCCCACTCCAGGTCCCAGAGGCCACGTTGCAGGAGGTCCTGCCAAAGGTCCTCAGGGCTGACTTGAATTCAGTCCTTGGCTCCCCTGAGCACCTGCAGCTCTTCCTCCTGGCCCAGCAGAAGGTGCCCACGGAGCTCGAGAAGCTGATGGGATCGGTCAACCTGTTCTCAGATGAGAACATCCCCAGGTGAGGGACTTGGGTGGGTGGGCCCTCCCTGGGGCCATGGGGCTGCAGCTGGCCCTCAGCAGGCTTGCAGTGCAGCCTGGGGGTGTCCCTGCTACCCCGGGCGCCCTGGCCCTTGTCGGTTTGGTAGGTGCCCCCTGAGTCCCCTCTGCCCCCTCTGCAGACTGGTGACGGTCCTGAAGATGGCCGCTGCCTCTGTGAAGAAGGAGCGCAGGCTGCCCACCGTGGCTTTGGACCTGCTCCGCCTGGCACTTCAGGAGGACAAGTTCCCGCGGTTCTGGAAGGAAGTCGTGGAGCAAGGGCTACTGAAGAAGCACTTCTGGCCGGCCAGGTGCGTGTGGCACTCGCTGCGCTCCACTCCGCTGCTTCAGTTGTTACATGGGGCTGGGCTGACAGTCCACCCGGGGAGCCGAGGGCTCTGACCAGGCTCTGTCCTCTGCCCCTTAGCTACCTGTGTTTCCGCCTGCTGGGCGCAGCCCTGCCTCTACTGTCCAAGGAGCAGCTGCAGCTGGTGATGCGGGGGGACCTGATCCGACAATATGGGGAGCACCTGGTCACTGCTAAGGTGGGTGCCGCACCCTGCAGCCCAACACTGCCATAAAGGGCCTGGCAACCAGGATGCTTCCTGCCAAGAAAGGGGCTGGGCCGCCTCAGGCGTCACTCAGCTTCTGGAAAAGAGGGTTGCTCTTTGCTCTGGTGTCAGTGGTCTTCCTACCTCAGTGGCCCCGTCTGGGAGGGCAAGCACAGGTGCTGTTGGCAGGGGCCTGGGACCTGGGTGTCTCTTCCCTCTGAGTAAAGTCAGCTGCCTGAACCCCGTCTCCTCTCTTCCTCTCTGAATGGAGTTTGGGCAAGGTCAGCCCCTCTGCCCTCAGGCCCCTCAGCAGAGGCCTGTACAGCCAGGAGTCCGTCAGACCTCCCGCCACCCCCAGGTGGTGTTACAGTGAGACTAGCCATCATCACTGACGTTTGGAGCATTTTCCGCACGCCCCACACTCAGCTAAGCGCTTGACAGGAGAATCGGTTGGTGGTTAAGAGCCTGGAGGCCCCAGAGCAGACTGTCGGTCTGGTCCTGACTCCACCGCTCGCTAGCTGTGGGACCTGACACAGCTGGCTTCCCTTCCCTGTGCCCGCCTGTCCTTGTCCGTGAGACAAGAGGAGCAGTATCTGCTCAGAGCTGTTGTGAAGATGAGCATGTTAACACGCACGGCACACAGGAAGTGCGGCTGCGTTCCTGCATTTCATCTTTACAGCCGGCTCCCGAGAGCTGCTGTCCCTGGTTCCTGGGTAAGGGAGCGGC